TGTGAGAGGGGGCAGGCTGGGCTGAAGGACCCCTCCCCCCATCCAGTGCATGAATTTTCATGCACTGGGCCTCTAGTATTAAATAAGATGATACATTTCAGTAACCCTAGATGATGTCTAGAACTGAGTAAGTGATTAATTAACACGAGGTATATTATTATTGTTAAGAATGACAGAGTTACCTAACTCCTACAGCAATATTCTTACCTACTCTAGAGCAAGCGAGAGCATATTACAAGAGGAATATAGGTGAGAAATTAGTTTCCTGGCTAAAAATGATTGTGAGACACTGAATAGTGTTTGTCTTCTTGAGTTGTAAAAGCAAAAACAATTGTAAGTACCTTTGGGAGAAGTGACTCAGATGTGATCCTTAAAAGTTTTCAAAATTTCAGGTTGTACTCTAATGCTAAAATTCAGTATTTGTATCTTTTCCCCTCTAGCTGAAATTTTTAATTAGTTTTTTTTTCAGCTAGCAAAAATATATATCAATATATATTTTTGATAAATGACCTTTTTAACATACTATTTTTTCTCTAGTAATGATGCCTACTAATGCTACAGGATTCCTTTATTCTTTGTAATTAGAATAAGTTATGATTTTATTTTTAAAATGTTTCTATTGATTCTTTAGAGAGAGGAAGGGAGAGGGAGTGAAAGATACATCTGTGTGAGAGAGAAACTTCAGTTGGCTGCCTCCTATACGTCCCCCTATGGGGTGCATGGGATGATACTCAACCAACTGAGCAACACTGTCCAGGGCTAGAATAAGTTGTGCTTTTAAGTAAAAGCACTTTTTGAACAAAGTAAAAGCAAGCTGAGAATTAGAGCAATGTGTTTTGAATATAGTTGTAGATGAAACACCTGATGTTCTTATAAAACATAGGAAGTTGTTGAAAAAACATTTTTTTTTTTGTGGAATGTGGATGGTTATCTAGATAAAGAATTCAAGCAAAGTTGAAGTTCAAAGTTACTTCCTTATAATCTCTGGTTGAAATTCTAGCAAGTTTCTCACATGTGAAGACCCACGTTTAACCTGAGCACCTCCTGAAGAGCCTGCTTGAAAGGCCTGAAACATGTCTGTTGATTATGATTCTGAGTTTTTTTCCTATTGGCTGAGGGGCAAAGGCATCTATTATTATTAACTCTCTTTGGCCATATTCGAACTTTGGATGACATGGTAGCATCATCAAACTCACATAATGACACCATTAAATACGGGGCATGGCTTTGCTACAAAATTCTGGCATAGCTGTTGTACATTTTGATTTTATAGATGCCTTTAAGGGACTGTGTGAGGATTTTATAGCACAAGTCATTTTGGACAGCAGTGCCCAGTGACTAAGGAATAAAGAGTTTATTCAAAGATCTCTCAGCCCAGTCAGAATATTGGCCTTTCTCAAATTGTGTTTTATCATGCAATAGTATTCAGCCCCAGGGAAGACCTATTTCTACTTTTAACTATGGAGGATCTGCCACTGGTAAATGAAGTACTTTCTGGAGGCATCATGGACTCTTTCCTTTGACTGAAGACAGAATCATTGCCATGTGTTTCCCAGTGGTCCTCAAACTTAATCAGGATCCTGTAGAGTTAGTAGCCTCCCTTCAAAGACTCTAGTGGTGGTGTTGCATAATTTAAGGCCCATTAGGGGTGTTCATCAGGATTAAGGAAGGCATGTTTATGAAAAGCCCATTAAGTATTTTTGTTGTTCTTGTTCCCGGAGAAACTCACCCCTGTTATAAATCAAAAAGTCCCAAAGAATAGATTTGTATGCTCCTCACTGGGATTTTCCAAATAAGATTTATCCCAGATAGCTTCTTGTATAAGGATGACTTGACTTTCAAACTTATTTGAGAATGTTTTAAATTTAATTAGGCACTTAATACAGAGAGTTGCTTCAATGTCCTCCATTTGAGAATGCTTATAACCACGACTTTTCTTTTCTTTGTGTCATTGTTCATTATTATCATTGCTATTCTAATCTTGGATTAGTGACACATGCCAGGCACCTGGCAAAGTACTTAAGATACAAACAAGACAAACACAGTTCTGGTTTTTAGTCTCACAAAACACCTGGAAAAGATGCGGGTTTCTTAAACATGTAACAGGCAGATGCATGTCTGTATTGTGTCTTAAAATCTGTTAACTAGAGCTCCATATACACATATGGCATATTTTTTGTATGTTTATGTGTTCAGAAGCTATTTACATCATATTGTATAGCTCTGGTTTGCCTCTAAGTCTGTGATTTTTCTACATTTTTTTCATGTACATATGTATACTACCAAAGAACCACTGGTCAAATGAGTTATCACTGTATCTTCTCATTAGCAGGTAGTAATAGCAAAAGTTACAGAATATTTTGTGAATTACAGATTCTTTCTACATTTAGCATTTCACAACAAATTATGATGGCAAGTATCTAATTCAGATATTTCAGGGTAACCAAGTGTTGGAGAATACGTCACTTGTCCCAGGTCACTCTTGTATGATCAAGATTCCAAATGGATTACTTTGGCTACAGAGTTTCTGCTTTAATCCAATAGGAGACACAAATGCCTCATAAGCATCAACTAGTAAACATTTACATATTTTTCAGCTTTATGAAGTATATTACCGCATTAAAGATGCAAAGTACTAGAGTAAATATGGGTGTTGTTGATGTGAGAAAAACACTTCCTTCTACTTTATTTTTCAGGCATGAGTGGAAACTCAGTGCTTCCGTGATATCATTAGCCGATTTCTTTTTCTTGTTCACAACACTCGTTCACAGATGTTAACTGCCATGAATATGTATCAGCAGAAAGTGTGAACCACAACCTATAGTAGTGATTCCAAACTTCACTGATTTACACAGTCGGGTATTTATTTATGGCTCCCTCCTTTTTTGTCACAATAGTTCCCCCTATCTGTGGGAATGTGTTCCAAGACCCCCAGTGGATGCCTGTGACCACAGACAGTACTAAACCCTATAGATTCTGGGGTTTTTTTGTGTGTGTTTTCCCTGTACATATATACCTTTTCACTTAAAGGAAGCACTTCTGGCTTCTCTCTGGCATGTCTGAATTACTACCATGACTACTTTGGGGCCATTATGAAGTAAAGTAAGGGTGCCTGAACACAAGACAAGCACCGTGATACCTTGACAGCCAATCTGCTAACCAAGATGGCAACTTAGTGACTCACAGGTGGGGAGCGTCTACAGTGTGGAGACACTGAACAAAGCCGGACTCACATATACTAGGCAGGGCAGAGCAGAACAGCATGAGACTGCATTCTGCTGAGAACATCACGCAATTTAAAACTTATGGATAGTTTATTTCTGGAACGTTGCACTTAATTTTCAGGGCACAGTTGAATGCGGGAAACCAAAACAACAGAAAAGGAAGCCATAGATAAGAGGCCACTACTGTATTTTCATCTTACAACTGAGGAATAGGACTCACATCTAACAGGAATTCCACAGACTCTGTCTACTTCTGTCCAAGCCCTTTTAAGGGAAAGGGTCTAGCTATGAACTGTGTCTGTCTGCACCTTATTTCTCTGTTCCCAAACCACAGTAGAGTGCCTCTCAGAGTAGTCTGGCAAGGTTGGTCACATTCAACATCAGTTTCTACTCTGTTATCTTTAGCAGATGAACTTTTTAAAAAATTTCTTTTGTTAATCCTCATCCAAGGACATTTTTTCCATTGATTTTTAGAGTGGGAGAGAGGGTCAGAGGGAGGGAAGGAGAGAGGGATGGAGGGAGGGGGGGAGAGAAAGAGAGAGGAAGAAATTTCGATGTGAGAGAGACAAATCTATTGGGTGACTCCCACATGCATCCCAACTGGGGGCTGGGGTCAAACCCAGATATGTGCCCTTGACTGGGAATCAAACCCGCAACCCTTCGGTATACAGGCTGATGCTTTGACCACTGATCCACAGCAGCCAGGGCAGCAGATATGAATTTTTAAAGGACCTATTATATGCCATTACTCTTTTATATCCTTTATATAAATTATTGTATCCGTTCTTACATAAACCCTGTTAGGTAATAATTACTGCTGTTAATAATATCCCCCCTTTTTATAGACAAAAAAACTAAGGTTGTTTAGGAGATATTAACCATCTTGATGTGAATCAGTCAGTGAGGCCGAATTAGAATTCAGACCTGTGTCTGTTGAGTTCTAAGACTTGTGTTTGTCGTTGTTTTTTTATTCATGATCTTTTGCTGCCTCATTGTTCAGAAAACATATGTTGATAAATCGTCTAGGACTATATGGTGCTTGGCTCCTTCTGCAGAGAGATTATGGAAGAATGATGACAGAGAAACATAAAGACATTAAAGGGACATATTCATTTCTCTCTGATAAAATAATAAAAGAGCCAACTGTTCTAAATAAATAACTGCCAGCCCATAGGAGAAAGCCCTCTAACAGGTCAGAAGAATATAAGATCACTCAGGCAGGACAGAGCAATTCAGGTGATAGATGGAAGGCTGATTGTGACTTGTTTTAAAGCATTTGCAAAGTACTATACTATGCACAGAAAGCTCAAAAATGATGGATCAAAGCCAAAATTGTTGAAGATTAGATTTCAGGGTCTACAGAAAGGGAGGAGAAACCAGGTGAATGGAAGAAGAATGTCTATATTGATACCTTTAATCACCTGTGATGCTCCTAAAATAAGAGTCCTGCCACTGCCCCATCCCCCCAAAAACACAGCATTCTGGAGCATGGGAACTACCTGTCTATCAAACACTCCCTGGTGATTTTGTACAAGTAGGCCATGGACCACACTTTGGGAAAATACTGATTTGGTCCAGTCTCTTTATTTTACAAATCAGCACGAGGTTCTAAGGGTAAATGGTTATCCAAAGTTTGCTGTACTCTCTCTCATTAGAGTTTTGGCTAAATCGGTCTCCTACAGGCCCAGCTCTGTCTTCTTTGATACTTGGATTTAATTTTTCCAACTCTAGCTGCGGACCAGCTAACAGCATGTATCCTTGCTCTTTCTCTTCTAGAATCACAACCACAGCTGCCTGCATGATGGACCTCAGGCGATACCCACTGGATGAACAAAACTGCACCTTGGAAATTGAAAGCTGTAAGTTTTTCTGAGAATCCAGGCAGACTGAACTCTGCTTACGGGTTCTCCAGACCTCGGGCCTGCAGAGGTTCCGCTAGCACAGTAACTGTGATGGAGGGAGGCACTCCTAGTACCTGCCCTCCTGCTGCTGCAATCCTCTTAGTCTTGTCCCCAAATCCCTGGGAGAGGTGTGAAGGGGAGAAGTAATCTAGCAATAAAAGGAAGATGCTAAGAGCCTGGAAGAAAACCAAGGGCTATTCTAGTCATTTAAAGCACAGCATTTGGTACAGATAGCTACCCCAGGCTTGGGACAATAGGTGAAGGTGGCAGGAGGACACACGGTATCCGAATAATTTTTGTCTCTCAGAAGCATTATCACGTTTGAATTGCAAAAGAAATGTGGCCTTCTGGAATAGCTGAAACCTCCACAGAATGTGGATTAGTGAGATGTTGTTGCTTTTCTCCAGGGACTATTTTCAGTGTCTAAATTTATTTTATATTCTTGCTGAAGGCCATCTGATGCGCATGATGAATATATATATATATATACTCTTTCCTGCATGGACCTGTTTTGCAGTATTGTTGCATTTCTAGGCCATAGTGTGCGTCCTTGAGGATTCAGTCACCTACCCTGTTGAGTAGAATGTTGATGTCATAGCCCAGCTCCAATTCAGAGGTCACTCAGAGAGGTCGTTTGAAGTGGTTCCATCATGTGGGCATTTTTGCCCATTTCTAAAAAAATAACGTCCAGGGATATTTCCATGTACACATTTTTTTAAGAACCTAATTTCATACTCGTATTTCCAAGTCATCATTCTTTTCACATTAGATCTTTGCCATGTAGAACTGCTTAATAAAATTGCTCTATAGGATTTTTATGATTATTTTTATGTAAATATATTTGGGATTAACTTTGCATTTTCATAACTAATAACACAGTTTAGAGTGCAGAATATTGTCATTCAAAGTCCAAAACCTAGTTGTTTCAAATTGTTGATGTTAGGATATTTTGCAAAAAATATGTGGCTTTGTACCACTCATGAATTTTTACAGTAAGAGAATTGTTCATGGTAGAATTTGACTGGATTTTAATAATCATTATTGTACATGTCATCTGAGCCTTCTGCAGCCTTCTTACTTGAAAGAACTAATGCCTTAAAGACACAGGCAACACCCAGTGTTGCATGGAATTAAATTATAATTGTGACCTGAATATTGAAAAATTAATACTTCCTTAGACTTTTGGGAAGTTTAAATTTTATAAAGTAGCTTTTATATATCTCATTGCATTTTACAGTTACCCTGGTAAATGAGGTAGCATAGATTTTTTCCAGCTTTATTGAGATATAGTTGACAAACAATATTGTGTGAGTATGTACCATGTGATGCTTTGATATATATAAGTTTTGTGAAATGATTACCACAGTAAGGTTAGTTAACACATCTATCACCTTACATGGTTACCTTGTTTTGATGTATGTGTGTGTGTCTGTTGGAAACTTTTAAGATTTACTCTTAGCAACTTTCAAGTATACAGTACAGTATTGTGAATTATAGTCACCATACTGTAGATTAGATAGCCACATATTATTCATTTTATAACTGAAAGTTTGTGCCCCTTAATCTCCTTCACCAATCTGCCCCACTTGGCAAACATCAGTTTACACTGTTTCTATCAGGTCAGTTTTCTCTTTTAGATTTCATGTAAGTGATAACAAATGGTATTAGACTTTCTCTGCCTGACTCATTTCACTTAGCGTAATACCCTCAAGTTATCCATGTTATCACAAATGGCAGGATTTCCTTTGTTTTATGGCAGAATAATATTCCATTGCATATATCTATAAAAATAAAAGTGTAATATGCTAATTAGACCAGACAGCCGAACTACCTTCCAGATGATGCTGTGGCTGTGAGGGCTGAGCCCCTTGCACCAATTTCATGCATCAGGCCTCCATTCACTCATCAATAGACAATTAGGTTGTTTCCATGCCTTGACTATCCTATATAATAAAAGCCTAATATGCAAATTGACCGACCAGTGGAACAACCAGTCGCTATGATGCACACTGACCACCAGAGGGCAGACGCTCAATGCAGGAGCTGCCATCAGCCTGCAGACCCCAGGCCAGCCAAGGTGGGTGCCATTGGGGGCACCCCGATTGCCTGCTGGTTGCCCCACAGATTGGCCCTGATTGCCGGCCTGGCCTAGGGACACTACCTATGCACGAATTTTATGCACCAGGCCTCTAGTTATAAATAATGCTTTGGTGAACACGGGGGTGCAGATATCTCTTCAAGAATGATTTTATTTCCTTCACATATGTACCCAGAAGTAAGATTGCTGTGTCATATAGTAATTCTATTTTTTCCCTTTAATAATGTTCCCATTTATTTTTTAAATTCTTATCTTATTTTTTTTAGCATGTAAGTTCTTTGGTTAATCTCTTCCCCCTCCACCCCCACCTACCCACCGACCCTCACCTTCCCTCTGAGACTCGATAGTCTGTTCCATGCTTCTATGTCTCTGGATGTATTTTGTGCATCAGTATATTTTGTTCATTAGATTCCACATTTTAGCGAGATCATGTGAAACCTGTCTTTCTCTGACTGGCTTATTTCACTTAGCATAATACTCTCTAGGTCCCTTCATGTAATTTTATTTTTAGTTTTTGAGAATCCTTCATAATAACTGTACCTATTTACATTCCCACCAACATTGAACAGATTCCTTTTTCTCCACACCCTTACCAATATTTGTTATCTCATGTCTTTTTTATGATAGCCATTCCTACAAGTGTGAGGTGATATCTCATCATGGTTTATATTTGCATTTCCATGATGATTAGTGATGTTGAGCACCTTTTCCTGTACCTGTTGGCATTTGTATGTCTCCTTTGGAAAAATGTCTCATCAGTTTCTCAGCCTACTTTTAAATTGGATTATTTGGGTTTTTGCTATTGGGTTGTATGAGTTCATTATATATTTTGAATATTTGCTGCTTATCAGATACATTTTTTGCAAATATTTTTTCTGCCATTCCATATGTTGCCTCTTCATTCTGTTAATGGCTTCCCTTGCTGTATGGAAACTTTTTAGTCTGATATAGCCCTGCTTGTTTATTTTGCTTACTTGTGCTTTTGGGATTACATCCAAAATATCATTGCCAAGACTGATTTTTTCCCTGTGTTTTCTTTCGGGATTTTACAGTTTCAGGTTTTACACTGGAATCTTTAATTCCTTTCAAGTCAATTTTTGTGAGTGGTTTAAGATAGGTTTCAAATATAATTATTTTGCTTGTGGATATCCAGTTTTCCCAGTACCAGTTATTGAAAAGACTAACTTTTCTCCATTGAGTATGCTTGGCTCCCTTTTCAAATATTATTTGGCCATGTATGCAAGGGTTTATTTCTGAGCTCTCAGTTCTGTCTCATTGGTCTATATGTCTGAATTTTTGAGAATTTTCCTTTTGTGGCTTAACATATGGCTGACTCTAGAAAATGTTCCATGTGTGCTTAAGAATGTTTTCTATTGCTGTTGGATAGGATGTTCTGTAGATAGATGTCTGTTAGATCTATTTGCTCTATAGCAGTGATTTTTAAAGAGTGTGCCATGGCTGGGCACTGACTATTTAGTCAGGGGTACTAACCTCTTTTCCCTTAAATTATCAGACAAAGAATGACAACAACCAACACAACAATAGCAATTTGGTGTGAATGGGTCAAAATTATACCTTTTTTGTGTGTCAGATCAGCAAAAAATATATTTTTTGGTGTACCGCAGAATTTTAGTAATTAGCTTATGTGTGCCAGGAGATGAAAAAGGTTGAAAATCTCTGGTCTATAGTGTTGTTCAAATCTGCTATTTCCTATTGATTCTCTGTCCAGATGATTTATCTATGGTTGGTAATGGTATTAGAGTTCCTAACTATTATTGTATTGCTGTTTATTTCTCCTTTTCGTTCTGTTAGTATTTGCTTTATATATTTAGGTGTTCCAGTATGGGTGCATAAATATTTATGATTGTTACATCTTCTTGATGAATTTACCCCTCTATTACTATATAGTGACCTTTTTTGTCTCCTATAAGCATTTATAGCTTAAAGGCTTAAAGTCTATAGGGTAGATATTAATATTCCTGTCTTTACAACTAGGGAAACAGACACAAAGGTGGAAAGTGATATGTCTAAGAACATGCAATCACTGAGTAACGCAGTGCTCTGAGCTAATGCGGGGATTGATAGCTGATTTATCTTAGTAAAGCCACTGATTTTGGAGAGATCAGATTAACAGGAAGATGACTGTTCTAAAAATCAGGAAAATAGACTGTCCTTACAAAAAAAATGGGGTTTATTCATATTTATTTAAACAGCAAATCATTGTTATGGAAAATGAAATATGGTATTTTATCAATAATATATTAATGATTATTAATATTATATTAATAATATATGCGATATCCTGGCCCTATTATTGTAAGCAGGTAGTAAACTAACTAAGCATGTTGAAATTAGGATCTGATCCTTTAAATAACTAGCTCTGAGGTTGATCTCTGATATTCTGCTTTACTCATTTATTCTTTTCTGATAAGTAAACTCTAGGAATTCATTCATCCTCCTTCTTCCCCCACCTCATCTCCTCTTTCTTTTTTTTCTCATGTCTACTTATTTCTCTTCTTTTCTCCCTCTTCCCTCCCTTTCTCCTCTCAAATACAGTTGACCCTAAGAGTGGCATTACTAAATCCTTATCACCTTGTCTCTTTATCAGCAATTAGTATATTGGTTTCATTTTAGAGAGGATAATATAACTTGATTCAGAACAGCTCGGAGTGGGGAAATATTGACTTGAGCTCATTGTTCATTTATTCATGCATTGGCTCATTCAAGAATTTACTCATTCATTAAATATTTATTGAACTTTAGTTATTTATAAGGCATTGTAATACACTATAAAAATTTAATAGTGAACAAATGTAGACAATGCCCCTGCCTTTATTATGCTGAGGGAGATAGGTTTTAT